AACCTGTATGACAACGTAAGTGGCTTCCTAAAGAGAGCAGAGCTATGGAGCATGGACACTGCACAGAACTGCGTGCATATATAAAACATTATACATACTCATCTGAAACACTTACACGTACATATGAGAAACACACGCGCATACATATATACTGCTGTGTCATATACACATACATATGAAATGCTTACATGCATCTGTGAAAGTGAAAAATGTATATGTATCTATCTGAAACATATGGAGGACTAAAAGTGCCACAATTAAATAAATAAATACACCATTAAATAATTACTTAAATGTGTCATTCATTAATTAAAATTGGAATTAAATAAATAAATGTGTCATTAAATGTGTCATTAATTAATTAAAATACCGATTCATTGTATGTAAAATGCATATATAACTATTTCACTATTTACATTTATATTTCATGATCCTGCGTTGCAGCGCTTCATGAATTACTTAAAACTGTCAAACTGACCCATCAAAAGTTGGTAGGCGGAACATAACGCCTGATTGGTTACCCTGTGCATCAAGTCAAGACAAATCAATTCCAGATAATAGATCGCTGCAGAGCTACTGAACACATTCCAATACACTGGGTGGCGCTATTCACCTCTACGTTGGTTTGGATACGCTGTTAAACAGAACTTTCATTGCAACGGCTAAAAATCAAGGAGATGACGCGGTCCTGCTAGCCCCAATGACCAAGGACGCAGACGCCGTGCGAGGTGCAGGACAAAATGTCAAAAAGTTGCCCGGAGCTGCTGAGAGAAGCAGCGAATTTGATTGAGGAAGCTCTGAGCAGAAGTCCAACGGCTCCGGCGGCTCAGTCACAGCAGATACCGGCCGCTCAATCACGTACACCTGTCCAAGGTAAGCTAAGTAATTTCATGTTAGCCAGGTGTGCTACTCATTAATGATTCGGGACACACGTGTGGGTTAAATTAGATCGACTCGAAAATGTATTTGTATGTGGTATTATGATGTTTCGTGCGCGACACGTTCGTTGTTAATTGGTGGAGCATAAAACCCGCTAGTTAGCTAATGGTGTTAGCTGGTTTGAGCATCCCAAGATAGAAGTAGAGACTGTTTTAGCTGACTGGTGACCGTTGAGCGGTGACGTTTTTCTGTGTTGCAGCGGAGGTAGCAAGGCTCTTTGCGCCATACAACATTGAAGCCAGAAGGAATATGACGAGACGACCAGCACAAGTCCAAGTTAGCCGAAGAAGCTACACACATACTGTCTGTTGTTTGGCTGACCACAATGCGGATAAAATTCCAAGCGTACTGGTTAAAGCTGAACTTCTTACTTCAGGACTTGGAGAGCAAAAAGTAACATTTTCAGGTCAGTGCGAAACTAGGCATTTACCGAAACAAAACAAATTGTGTTCATTGAAATTATTTGCATTTAATTGTATAGTGACTCAAACGTAATTCATTTTAATACTGTGAATAATAGTTATCACAGGCTTATTTGCTTAATTTAAGGTGAGGTGAGTTATGATTTTGTTTTATTTTTCTCCAGGGAATGACCAAGATCCCATGGTTATAACAAATAAACTGATGGAAGTGTTTCCGAAGCTCCAACAAGGGGGAGGCTTTGAACTTCTAAAACTTGTAGGATCTACTCGCAGTCGAAATCTTGCATTGCTTCAGTGTCCCAGCACTGGATACACCCTTGCCTATCTGAAAGATCCATCGACGATGATTGGACAGGCTACAATCTACATACGTCCACTTCAACAGGATCTACCCTTAGATTGTGTACATAAATTTACAGAGACCTAGTTTAATACATAATCAAAACAAAGATTACTGGTGACTTTTAATCATTAATTAAAAGCCATTTGTTGTTAGGAGAGCTCACGTCCTGCCTCTGGTCCAGTCATCCCCTGCATCACTTGTCAGATGGAAGTTCCCTTTTCAGAGATGAAGCTGCACAGATTGAGCTGCAATGGGTATGTACTTCCTAAAGCAATGCGAGGGTAGCATATTCATTTTCTTTGGGAATATGTCCTCTTGGAGTTTTGTGCACACAAATAAGCCAGTATGACCATTTCGATTCTGTTCACTTCAAGGACACCCATGGAGGAAAGAGAACAAGAGGGAGACCAAAGGGAAGAAAATGATAGTGAGACAGCCCTAGTCAGTGACAGTGTTCCAGTGAGGTCTGAAACATCAGCTGAGAGTGCAGTAGTTCCAGCAGTGATTGACAACGAGAAGTTGGATCGCAAAGAAACAGACAGTGGTATGTGTCATCACAATAGTGTTGCTATAAGATTGTGTGTAACTGAAAAGTCAATAGAAAGCGAACACTTTTAATATAGAATTGGATAAGATAATAGTTACAGGCAATTAATAACATGCACCTGTTTTTTTTATTTTTCTAATATTTAGTTTTTGTTGAATGCCGTTTTTATGTCAATTCGGCATTGTGACAGATTTTTAAGCTATTGGGTCTCGCGTTTTATCAGTGAAATAACATAATTTTCCTCCTGTTGTGTAGAGTGAGAGGGTATCTGTATATGCAGGTAACATGCCAACTCACAATATGTCTCTGGAATAGATAACTTTGTTGTTGTTTGTTTAGAATGGAAGATTATTGAGGAACCCACTCAAGCTGCCAAAGTTTTCAAAGAAAATCTGCTAAGGGAACATGCAACTGGGAAACCACTTAGAATAAAGATGGATGTAAGGGAGTCTGAAGAGGACCGGGAACGGGAGCTTCTCTTATTCTATAAACAGCAGCAAGAATGGGCATGTCCACTTCATTGTACTCTGGTTGGTAAGTAATATAAAGTTTATAATATAAATACATCAGTACAGTTTATACCACTCAAGTAGCATATATGGAATTGTCCCATTGGAAAATGGGAGAATGGAATGCACAAAATTATATAATTGATAAAAAATGTTATGTATGTGAATATTGTGCACAATATACTCTTATCTGGAATAATCAATATTAAGGATGCTGTTCTAAATTACAGCCAATATAATTTTGACTATTTTTCTCCCTTGCTTGTTAAATGTTAGCTAATCAAGTTACCCGTATTTGTCTGCCACTTTTTTCCACTGTGTTATTATCAGTATTTTATTTCAGGTGATCTTGCTATCGGAGAGGGAGTGATGCGGTACTTTATGACAACAATCATATCCAAACTCCAGTTTGGATTCAGTCTAGATCTTGGTAAGTACTCGCACACGTTCTGGTGGTTGATGAACGCAGATATGTGCTGTTTAGCAGAGGGCCGGTGGGCAATGTTTTGTGTCAGGTAAATCAGTAAGTCAGTAGTAGGATATACAGGGGGGTTGCATTTGAAGTGGTTTGGGGTCTGTAAGTCATTTTGGAGTAGGCTACAATTTTGTTTAAGTGAATTCTACAAGCAGCAATACCACAGGCCAAGTAATCGCCTGTTCCAAACAGGCACATTTTCAACGGGCACTGCACTAGTATGATGTAATTTTATGTATTTAAGAGGTTAGTTGTTGTGACTTTATTCCCTGCTCTCTTGGTACTTTACAGGAGGAATGGGCCGAACACTGCTATTTGAGGGTGAACCTGACCATCTTGTTCCAGCAGCATCAGAGGCACTTATTGAAAGCAACCTCTTCCGGGTTGCAGGAAGGATGTTGGCCCACACTTTTCTGCATGACGGTCCCCATGTCACAGGATTAAGTCCTGCTGTAATTCATGTACTGTTCAATGGGGACCCTGAAATGGCTACTGTTGTTATTGAAGACTGTCGTGATCTGCACATCAGGAGCATCATAGAACTGGTATGTAACCTAAAAGATAATTTGCCATGTAAAAAAATATTGCTTGGGCAGATATAATAAATGGTATGGTCCTTATTCTAGCTTGAACATGAAGAACTTACACCGGAACAGAAAGACACAGTTTCAGATCTTTCCATGTCTTGGGATCTTCCGGCAGTCACCAAAACAAATCGGAGATGGCTACATAATAAACTTCTACTCCATGCAGTGAGTTCCTGCTGGTTAAGTGACAGAACTCATTGCTGTACTTGTTGAAATTATAGAATGTATTCTGAACCCTGGCTTGTTAATGTTAACACAAGAGTTTAAGTACTCGAGTTTTAATGGGTTTTTATAAGACACTTTATTGTGCTTTTATTAACATTTTGTTCTACTGTGCCAACTTTTGTCAAATTTGGGTTAAGGATTTCTGCTGTAATATGGGTCTGTCTGTCTCTTAGGTCGTTGGGAGGACCATGCGCCAAATTAAACAGTTGAGAAAGGGACTGAAAGATGTGATGGTATGGCCCCTGCTGACATCTAGGCCAGATGTTGTCCCACTTCTTTTCCCCAAAATAGCTGAAATGCAGTTCACACCCCAGGTAAGTCAGTAATTTAGTTATATTTGTGACTTAACTTAATGAATTTTACGTCTATTTTCCATGACTGAGCTGGCTATTTTTCCATTTTCCAATAATGTGATCTGCATCACCAAAATAAGTTCTCCCTTTTTAAAATTACAATTTGTTTTCTTTAAGATGCTCCTAGAAAAAATCACATGGCCAGTTGAGGACAGTGATGATGAAGACTTTGACTTGGACACCACCTGCCGCATCACTGGCTTTCTAAGGATGTTCATTGAAACGGGTCTAAACCTCATTTCTCTTTACAAATGCTTCTATGTCTCATGGATAGATATGATCAAATAAAGTTGAACTAAATGTCTTCAATCCATTGTATGACTTTTAGCTTCATCAGGTACCCTGGCCCAGCTGCTGACATTCTGGGTTGGCTGGGAGATGCTTCCTCCTGAACTGACAGTGGTGATTTCTGAGGGAACCCTTCCTACGTCCTCCACATGCTTTGAAACACTAAAGCTGCCAGCTCATTTCAAGATCTACATGGACTTTGAGAAAGCACTTGTCGCTGCTATAAAAAGTACTGGATTTGGGCTTGTTTAAGTATTTTCAGACACAAGTTCAGTGTCTTGAACTTGTTAACTGATTAACACACTGCAGCAGTTGACTTTTTATTTTATTTTTATTCGGCATATATATATATATATATATATATATTTTTTTTTTTTAAAGGAAAGCAAACTTTCAGTTTTTGACTGCTTGTTCTAACACAAAAAATAAAAACGTGTCGGACATCAGTCTAAGATTCTTGATAACACTTCCACAGTCTCTACATATAGTCTAAGCGCATCAGTAACAGAAACTCCTGGAGCTGACAAAATTGCAACCTCTTCATCTGAGAGCTCACGGGCCAGCTGAACCTCGGGGACTGACACAGTGCCTCCATGAAGGCTGTGAGGTCCGTTCCAGTCGATCCCATACTCTTCAGGAATCTGAAAAGATGACAAGCATAATCAAACTTGTACTTAAAAATAGTTTGACATGTCCTAACACAAGATTGTTATTTTTGGTCACCAAGTCAGTGAGAAATTGTTAGTTATTAAAGTTTTGTGAAATAATACAGCTGTAGTATGCACTGTAGAAACTACAGCTCACAGGTTGATCTTTAAAAGCTTGGGAGATTTTAAAGACAATATAGTAAATGTTCCATTTAAAGTACCACAGATACAACTTTATTGTAAAACAATTGTAATGAAACATCTAGAACGATGAATTGTTTATCTGCTAATATCACTGACCTGATGAGCTTATGGTGGCCATCTATATGCCACAAAGAGTTTGGGCCAGGCACAAAATACTGCCGTCGCCTTAATACACGCAGCCTCAGACGTCTCATGTAGCCTCCCTCTGCATCTACTCTGCGTAAAGACTCTTGCAGTCTTGAGACTGAGGGGAGGAACATCCGGACAGCTGAGCGTATTACTGTCAGATATTGTTCCACCTCTATTAAACAGGAGGCTAAAAATCACAGGACATGTCTATCCTGATGATAGAAGTCAGCTGTCCTGAAATGTGTGTTTCTCTTCTATTATACACATTCTACATCTCAGAGGCGATGTCTTTCCAAAAGCGGGCTTCCTTCACCTTTCAAAAGGGCAGAGCTCCGAATTAAAAATACATTTAAATAATGCCCATATTATTATACTCACTTGGAACACGCACACCTCTTGCATTCAGGTGACCACGCATTAGCTTGTAGCCGGTGTTTGGATGACTTCTGTGAATTTCACTTACAATATGGTCCAACTCCTCATCATTCACAGCTGAATAGAGATCTGTTTTTCTGTAGAAACAAACAAAACACAACATCAAGTAATGTTACCTTAAACGCCATATTCTTTCAGAGTGTATGAGAGCAGCAATTCATAAACAGAAACCTCATGAATTTAGTGTAAATACCTTAAACTGTGTTGTTGCATGCGCCTCCTGATGGTCCTCTTTGACACTCCGAACATCGCTGCGATTTGAACTGCGGGAACTCCACAAAGAACTTGATGCTCCAGAACTGCACTCGGTATGTCAAACGGCAAACGCCCCGGTCCCTGTGTGTGTTGGGCCTGATGCGCCCTGGTACCAGAGAAGCGGTGGACAACTTCTTCTAGATTTGTAATTACTCTGTGGTCGATATCTTCGTCAGAAAGTGCGGAAATGACTCCAACAACTTCAATAAGTTCCTCTGCTTTACTAGCTACATGCTCGGACTCAGCAGGTCCTGCTTCTACATCCTCTGCTAAGTTTAAAATGTCTCTCACCAACTCCCTGGAAAGTTCACGGAGATCCTCCATGTTTCTATCCAGGTACTTCAGACCAAAGCAATGGATCAGACTAGATTTGCGTTAGCCCCGCCCACTGACTTTGATGGGTCAGTTTGACAGTTTTAAGTAATTCATGAAGCGCTGCAACGCAGGATCATGAAATGTAAATGTAAATAGTGAAATAGTTATATATGCATTTTACATACAATGAATCGGTATTTTAATTAATTAATGACACATTTAATGACACATTTATTTATTTAATTCCAATTTTAATTAATGAATGACACATTTAAGTAATTATTTAATGGTGTATTTATTTATTTAATTGTGGCACTTTTAGTCCTCCATAGAAACACTCATGCATGCACAAATGAAAAAATTGTAGAATTGTTGAACACTCACATATTCATAAAGGAATCTCTTGCACATGTTTCACATGTATTCATACGAGTAATCTCACTAGTGAATGTAAGAGCATCTCACTGGTGAGTATACATGAAATCTCACTGGCATACGGAAGGCATCTCCAATAACATTGGGCGTTCCAATAACATTGGAACGCCCATCCTTAATATGCTTTTAAGTCCAGACTTGTCCGTCCTTGTGTAGGTCCAAGTTTATAAATACTACCAGTCATGGAATGTCATTTTAGGACTTTTTCAAGTTAGTTGTTCAAGCAACATTTCAGCGGGCGGTTTGTCAACATTAGGTCTTCGTAACAATTTGCTCCGAGGATGTCGGAGAAGGGAAGTGTAGTTAATGGGACCGTCTTACTCCTCCAGCATCAGGTGATCAGCCCACAGATAGCATCCTGTTCTCGGCCAGACTTCTGGGAAATGCTCCGCTTGTATCCACTTTTCCGTAGTGGTTAAACATAAGACACTATACTATAACTTTTAATGAGACTGGTGTTTGGTGTGTTTGGAGACAGGAGTTTGTTCAAAATTAGCAGATGGTTGGAAGGTCTTTGGGGGCGGACCTGTGGAAGGACTGTCAATTTGACCAGGGCCCCATCCACATATGTGGCTTTCTGGTTTCTTGCTCTTCTGAGTTTGCATCCCTAAGATTAAATGCACTTATTGTAAGTCGCTTTGGATAAAAGCGTCAGCTAAATGATATGCAATGTAATTTTGGTCTTTGATTTTGTCGGTCACCCCCGACAAAATCTCACTCAAAGGTTTTTGGAAAAGTTAAGAGCTCTGTTTTTAACGTTAAAACGTTTTTAGACGCGCATATATATATATACTGCTGTGTCATATACAACTACATATGAGAAGAGAGAGAGTTCTCCGAGATCACAAAGATCCGTTATGACCATGATCACAATGACTTCCTGTACGAGCGCCATTGATGCTGAAGACAAGAAATCATTTATTTACAAGAAAACCTTCTGGAGGCTGAACGTTACGTCCACTGTCTCACACACCCTCTCATGTCTCACACACTCTCTCATACTGTAGATGTTTGTACAGCGTAGCGATGGAGAGAACATCTGGAAAGCTGCTGCATGTCGTGCTCTGAATTGATGTCTGACTATGACCAATATATATATATACTGATTTGCCCATACACAGATTCACAGTTCTATATGGTCATCTACACACATACATATGATATATAAGCTGATACAGTACATATGTCCTCATAACTTCATTCGAATTAATTGGACTCTTTGGGCTTGTTCTTAACTACTTATTCTAAAAGAGTGGAGATCATTATTCTCATTAGATGATGATGCATTCCATGAAGCCTGCTGCCAGCAGGCACATAAGTATAATCTTCTTGATTAGAGTGATGAGGCACTTCAAATGAACCTATACATTTTCCCAATAACTAGGCATTCAACGTTAACGTTTGTGCAATTCTGTGTCGGGAGGTGTCCGTTTTTGCCATGATTATGTTTTTACAGTCTGTACACATGTGACATCTTCTGTCCAGAAACCCTCACATCGGCACAGGAAAAAATGACAAATCCTTCAATGAGGAGAATAAAGGGGCATATAGGACTGTAACTGTGATTACAGCTTCCTTCCCGAGTTCCCTGTTAGCATGCATTTAGTTAGACGACGCCTGTCTGACTGACCTCTCTCAGTGGATGTCCGCCCACCATCTGAAAATCAACCCGACAAGACTGAACTACTTCTCTTTCCGGGAAAAGACTCTCCGACCCAGGACCTGACGATCAACTTTGGCAACTCCGTGCTAATGGCCACTTTAACCGCTAGGAACCTCGGCGTCGACAGCCAACTCTCCCTGACTCCCAACATTACTGTGACAACACGATCCTGTAGATACACGCTCTACAACATCAGCAAACTAAAGACATCTTCCGCCGCCAACTAAAGACACACCTCTTCAGACTCTACCTCGAGTAAAAGACTAACAAATTGTAACACTTAAATTGTACTTATAACGCCTCTCATCTATAGCAAATTGTAAATTGGCTTATTTGAGGAAATTGCACTTTCTTGTTTCTTGTTCTTCTAAGTTTGAATGCACTTATTGGCAAAAGGTTGTTCTGATTTTTCCCATTACTGGTAAGTCTAGTGCAGAGGACCGTGGAACTGGCGGACCATGGTCCGGGTCCGGACCCAGAAACCGTCCCATCCAGACACGGACCTAAAGCTAAAACAGACGGTTGTGGATTAAAACCTGACGGGGGACTTTTTGACTGACGCAGCTTTGGTTGTCTCTAAATAAGTGGTTTAGAGCACAAACCAATAGCATTTGAGGTAAGACATCCCACATGATACCACTCAACCAATCGAGTCTTTGCATTCCAGGCAGGATGATAGGATGACAGACAGCAAATCACAAATAAAAAGACAATACGAAGAAAATGACAAGTGAGACGGAGAAAGCGAAAGAGAGGGACAGTGAGAAACATAAGGAATAAATCGCGCTCTCCAAAAGGAAAGTGGAGCATGTAATCCAGAATGGATGGACTAGTGGTTTCATACTTCCCACTGGAGCATTAAACAAGTATGTCTCATATGCTTAGAAAACAAAAGTTACTGTAAGTACCAAACCATTTTCTTATGGATGGATACCATGAATACCATGTCTCTTTCGCTGTCCCGCTATCCTTCCTTCACCTTCCCTCTATCTCTCTCCCTCCCTCTATCTTGTTCTCTCTCTCTCTGTCTGCCTGCTGTGCTCGTCCGCTTGTAACCTGACCCTCTAAGGGGGCGTGATTCTAACACAACACATATTAAGTCTCATGTCATTTTCACTTTTTTTTTACCATGGCTGTGTGTCAGGATGGTAACGCGACCCCCCCTGTCGGCCCACCACAACTGCCAGTTGGGAAGCCCGGCCCTATGTAATGGATTGTCCCGTCTGCCTGTGGTTTTTGCAGTAGTTGAGTTGAGTAGTTAAGCACATGTCGAGCTCCAAACTCCAATGGAGTTTTAAGAAAAAAGTAGAAAAAAACACTAACCCTAGCATGACGCTAACATGGTGCTAGCTAGCATTGCACTAGTAATAACAGGACACAACTGCTGACAAGTGGCTGAGGTTAATCACTATTAATGGAGAGACACAGAAGAGGTTCAGGTACATCTTCAATTTAATTCATAGTAATGTTTGTGCATTTAACTTGGATGAGGACCACCACACTGATTATGAGCCTCTTAATGTATGAGTAACAGGAAGACAAACAGTTTGTGTGTATTTGGAATGTAGTCCTATCCAATAAAATATTAACTGTTTAATTGTTACTGTATCCAACCTCTCTTATGAAGAGGAAACCATTATAAAGCTAATGCAGTGTGATGTAACAACAGCAACAACCTGAATTAAATGTTCACCTCAGCAACGTTTTATGTGTTTCTTCCATCCAATATGAATACTAATTAGATATACACCTGTTAGTGTAATCCAGTAGTTCAGCAGCACAGCAAACTACAGCTCCTCTTCATCTGCTTTAGAAAGATGTTTGACTGTATAATAATTTTGATCTGAACTGATTGAGATATTTTTCGTAGTTTATGTCTTGTATATAATATATTTATTCTGGTGCTTTATTATATATATATGTATAATATATATATATATATATATATATATATATATATATATATATAATTCTTGAGTTTAAATGAAAACGAAACAAAACTATTAAAATGCATTAACAAGACCAAGTCATCAAGTCAGCTGCTGTTCCAATTGCAGAACGTCTATTCTCTCGGGAACGCAATGACAACTGGGAATAAAAGGTAAACTTTGATTGGATACTCTAAACGTTCAACTTGACGATTCAGATAGATAGCCTTTGTGGCTAGTCTTCACTTGCCTGCTTGGCCAACTTATGCACAGGCACCTGCGGGCAGGCTAGGCCACACTCTTAAAATTTCGGGGGGGGGGGGGGGGGTTTCTAGTTAAAAGTATTGTTTTTTTGTTGTTAGAACTCAGTGTCTGAGTCCTGCTTCCGGCCACGCTACCCAGGCTGCTGTGACAACAGCTTCCCTAATTTGCAATTTATAAACTCTTAACTGGCCAGAGAATTGAACCTGAAGTAATGTTTTTTACTAACTGGTAGTTAGGCTGAAACTACCATCTTCTATGTTGGCTACCTTGAATCATTACTGAATCTAAAAGAAGAGCAATTCATCATTTTCAGCAGTCAGGCAATGTCGAGATTGAGTAGAATGCTAATACCCACACAGTCAAACACCATTACTTACCAGAGCGGGTGTTGATGGTAAAGAAGTTCTGTGGATTTCCGCTTGTGATACGGTAGTTGAGCCTGTCAGAGGCAGATGGGGGCACTGCATCAGGGTCCTGCGCCTCGATCTGGATCACAGAAAGATCCCGGGGAGAGTTCTCGGGCACTGAAGGCCGATAGAGTGGCTCTGAGGTCAGTGGGGCATTATCATTAACATCCTCCACCTGGATGAACACCTCAATAGTAGCAAACTGGGGAACCACGCCGTGGTCACTGGCATACACTGTTAACCAATAAGAGTCCTTGGTCTCCCGGTCCAACATATCTGTAGTGTAGATAACCCCTGGTGGAGGAAGAGACAAAAAGAGCAATTTGTTCAGGTTATTTAACTCAGTTTATTTAGTCATTACCCACCCACTGCTTGAAGGGAGTAAGGAACTGGCTGAGGAGTATGCACCCTTGTTTCTATAGTTTTGCTCAGAGCCAATCACTGCAGGCAGCTTCAATCCGTACAGCCAGCTCCAAACACAATGTAACTCAGTCGGACAGTGTCAGGGGACGGCGTTCAGGGGGGATCAGGGGGATCAGCTGTAATTGCTCTGTGAGCATTGTGCATAACCGCAGTGATTATTGATCTAATGAAGCACTGGTATTGGTATTAAAGGGAACTGGCATTAGTACTGGCATTGTCATTTTTTAAACAAAACCCTGCAAACGAAACATAAGCACTATAAAATATTAATTTCTGCTTTGCATGGTCACTGCCTGCGTTCGTTGTGGATGAAACTTCCTTGCAGAATAGCTGTGTGTGTTTGCAGTAGTGTCCATAAAGATAACCGTGCAGCTGCTGCCAGCCCTTCTTTTGATATAGTTTGGCTTTCAGACCGGCCAGAATCCCTCATTTAATTATACATGTCTGAATGAAATGTATACATTTCAGACAGAAAAAGGTTTGTTTTTTTACTTGTTTCATGGCAGATTCACTTTCTCCTAGCTTTCCAGATTTCATTTCTGTATCCTTTATTTTATGTGGGATCAAACGAATGATCTTTTGATTGGAAAACAAACTCATACATGCACTCACAAATGTATATTTGTAGCATTTAGCCATTCCATTTGCCTCAGTATTTTAATAGAGAAACTCGTAGGAAATGTAGTGTTGCTGCTGCCACTTCCAGGATGAACCTGGAGAAATTAAAATAAACCCAAGCAGCACTGCCCTTATTACCATGTTCTGCCTGGTATAAACACGCTTGTGTGTGCTTTTGTGTGTGGTGATTTATTTTTCCAGAGTGGAGATAAATGTTTGACAGCGATGGGGAGAAAGTCAAGTGCTTCAAGGGCAAATCATTTTAAGAGTAGCTTATCTCCAAATCCATGTTTTTGAGTTACCGTGACAAATTACTTGCAAAGTAATTTCATTTCATCTTTGATTGATTCTGCGGTCTACTCTATTTACTATGAAAGCGGTATTTTCCACATGCCAATTGAAGGATTTTGGATAGCAGAAACCAGGGGTGTTGTTAAGCCACCATTTTAGGGCGGAGGCTCCCTAAAATGTCCCAAATAATTTGTCATTATTGGCTTTAATTTATTGGCTAATAATTTACGTTTCTCACATGGACAACTTATTTATAACTCTTTATATAACTGTATATGTCCTCTCCCTTCAAATTGCAATTCGAAAGCCTATCATCATACTTACTTTATACTACTATATAAAGCCCGGGCAGGGGACCATGGGGAAGCTGCTGTATTGGTTTTCTTATTCTGCCAAATAACGTTTCTGTCATCCACCACAGCCAGGATTCCTACAGCCAACAAGGTGTTTAGCTCAAAGTAAATGATGCACAGAGTCAAATTGTAATTAAAGATATTTACAGAATGTGGCCATCTGTAATTGTTAATGACGGTTACCTGCTTACATTTATAGTGGAGAGAAATAGTTTTGAAAAAATCATACAATGTGATTTTGTGGATTTTTGTTTTAGATTCCGTCACTCACAGTTGAAGAGTAACTATGATAGAAATTACAGACTCTTACATGCTTTGTAAGTTGAAAAACCTGCAAAATCTGCAGTGTATCAAATACTTGTTTTCCTCACTGTAGGTTTACTTGAGGATATGAAAGGGAATATTGTAGTGGGCTATGTTAACACTAAGCTAGCTTGTTGTTAAAAACAGTCTCCAGTGAACGAGCGAATTTGAGATACAAGAAATAACTATTGACATCTCTCTATCTTTTGCATTGATAGCTTACTTAAACAATAATGTAATTATAGAATGTTGTTGTTTATAATCAGTTAATGCCAGTGAAAACTATTATGTTATAGTGTCCCGCGTAACGCTATTGTATCGATATATCATACAATTCAATCAAAGCAGTTGCTGGTTCTGCTTCTCACGGTGTAGTTATTTCCTGTCTTATTTTGTAGTTTCTGCTTCTCTCCCTGGGTAACTTCACTTCCTGCCTTGTCCTGTCATCCCCCTGTGATTGTCTGATTGTTTCCACCTGTGTCCAATCACCTGCACCTCCCTAGTGAATTTAAGCTGTGTGTGTCTCTTGTCACGTCATTGTCTATGGTCCTGGATGTACCTTGTTTCTGCCTGCCTTTTTTCCCCGGGTTCCTGTGTGTGTTTTTCCCGTTGGCCTTTTGCTTTTTGACTATTAAAGTCTTTTTGTTTTCTCAATCTGTGTTCGAGTCCTGCCTCCCCGCACCTCTGACACTGCTTTATGAATATGTGTAGGGGGTGCTATGGAGCCAAAAAGCTAATTGGAAGCATCGAGATCATATGAAGTAACTTTAGTAAGTTTAGTAATGATCGGAGCATATTTTGTCCCTAAAAAGCCCCTCCGTTTGGTCTGTGACTGCTGGTGGGTTTGCTCCACCAACATTTGAAGTGGCTATGACAAAATCCTAGGGAGGAGTTCGGCAGCGTCTAGAAAGTGCGAAAAATAGATGAAATATTCACAAAAATATATAAATATCAAAAAACTGACTTGACTGGGAGCGTTGTCCCAGGATTCTTTTTTTAAGTATCCCTGTTGGACATATGTCCAGAAATTGTCATACATGTCAAACAGAGCGCTTGGGCTGTTTCATTGAAAACCCTATGGGGCCCTATGGAGGCAATTTACTGTTTTTGAGCCAAAACTCCACAGCAGCTCTTTAATGTCATCACCTAGGAAAATGACAGAGTTTTTCAAGACTTTTGGAGTTTGCCAAGGCACCGAAATATCTGCTTGAACTTTCATGCGAAGCTAGTGTTGTCACGGCAACAAGGTTTTTCACTGGGAGCTATTTTCAGACTTATGGCGTATCTGCACAAATTTGAGGTCAATTAGATTAAATGGCCAGGAATTGCATTTCCCTATATCAATAGGTGGCGCTATAGTTTTTTGAAAATCACTGCATAGGAATACTAAGGCTAGTTGCACGAAAACATTTGATACCTAACTTTTGATTTTCATAACTTTTGCCCACACAGGTGTCAGTATCAATTTTAATTTGAAATAGATCGGATTTAAACTCTCGGATGAGTTTGTTCATTTCTAAATCCAAAATACGCTGGAAATTGCAAAAAACAAGAAAAAATTCAGAGAATGACTGCAGCGCCCCCAAATGTTCAAATATTCTGGAAAAATGAGGGTATGCTCAAGGACTCAATGTGAACATATCCTAGAGATTTGGTGAGGATAATTAAGGACCAATTACTTTTGAGGCCATACCCCTTACAAACGTCATTGGTCATTGGACCATTACTGCATACCATGATTTACTTTTGAGTATATCCAAGAGTAATTTGGCAAAAATTTCCATTTTTTTATCCCCAAAATGCGCAATGAGTTTTTTTAACATGTTCAAAAAAAATTGGCCTCAAAAGTGCGAGACTAGATAGGCTACAACATCTTCATGCACCAGTTTGATTATTTGCCATTTCATGCCAAGGAAAAGTTCCATGTTTACCACAGCACAGCTTGCTTGGAGCGTTCAATGTCAGTACTGTAAAACTTAATTAATGTTGAAAATATTTGTTTCAATCACTGAATGAAGCCTGCCATATTTGGGACAAGAATCGCGAACTTTTGATCAGCATTTGTTTTTTGTTGTCGTTCATTTAAACCGCTATGCAGAGAGCGCGACGGTGCGGGAGAGAGAGAGAGAGAGTGTGTGCGAGAGGCCAAGGTCTGCGGTCTTGGGTATTAGTTAATTTACTTTTATTTTTTGTGATGGTAATATGTTGTTAAATATGTTTAAACTTGAATACATAAATAAATTACCTATACAAGTAGTTTTGTCTCGTTGTATTAATTTGTCCTTTTATTGACGTGCCTAATGCGCAACCAGATATTCGAATATATTGTGTTTTTAAAGAGAATATTCAAACGTCATTTTTGAGCAATTTTGACAGCCCTAATGCCAGGGGTCTCTGTCCACCAGCGTACAGAGAGTGCGCGAGCTCCCCGCAAAAAATTGTGACTCAGGGTCTGTGACCCCAAAAAAGTTGGGCACCCCTGTTATGCCACACACTCTACACTGCACACTGCACACAGCTCTACGCTGCACGTAGATTTTTAAGCAGAAAAGCACGCCTATCGGTGAAAATAATAAATAAATAAATATTAACTACATTAGATGTTTGATTAATAACTCCAATATGAATATGAACACAATTTATAGTTTATTTGTGCTGAGCAACTAATTCAATTATTTCACAGAACTGCACACTCTACATTGATTACTGTAGACTACACACCACTCTACACTACACACTAGACACTCTTAACTACACGGTGTACACCAGTGAGGGAGAGAAAGGCAGCAGGTAAGTGAAATTAAAGGTTGGGAGATGAAATACACACCATCATCTTTTTTTGCTCTGACGAAAATGAAAAAAGAACAATAAAACTCAACTCAACAGAGGGACAGAGGAAAGGGCATGCTGGGTAACTGAAGGCATGATATCAAGGGCGTAACCACGCATCCTTTGGGGGGTCATGTCCCGCCCGATATTGAGAAAATACCAATCTGTCCCCCCATTATACAGCAGAAAATATGTAAAATGGGTTTTCTTCCTCTTATGAACCATTTGTTAAGCGACACGCACTGGGACTCTCTACGCCGCTTGCTCTGCTCTGCGTAGCTGGCTGTAGTGTCCGCGCACTCCCCCCCCCCCGTCGACCGCCTCCCGTCGACCGTAGCGTCCAACTCCCCCTTTCTACAAGATTAAGCATGTGTCTTATACCTCACAGTCTGACTTGGTAGGTGTAAAATATGTCAATCTTTGTTTTGTTCTTGTTTAATTAGCTTGTCCCGACACAACAGTCCATCCATCTCCATT